GGAAATTATTGATTGAAACCAGAATGTTATGAAACCGACTTTCAAAAGTCAGTAAGGTTTTATCTGTTTGTACAGAAAAGCCACATCAGCGTAGACATTAATTGATGGAAAATCTTACTTTTAAAACGTTCGTCAAACTCTCAAGCAAGAGTTAATAATACAACAACAACAAAAAAAAAACAATACAAAATTGATTTTTCATTTACTCGTACCAACTGTATGTCAAATATGTGTTGCTTAAGTGACGCCATTGTAACCACTAGTTTGATATGTACAAGAAGGGAGCTTTTAATATACCAATTGTGGTAAATATTTTTACGATGGAATAAAACTGGATTGAAAATATATAGGCTTCAATATTATTGTGATCTAGGGCCCACGTTTGTCAGATCAACATTTTCATCACGTTGATATAAATTATCTTATAAAAAATAAAAACTCATCAACTCAAAGAAAATTCTTTAGACCTTACCTTATGTATTGGGTCCATTGTCCATGGTAAAATATTTAATATAGTCGCACATAAATAAGTTTCCCTTGAATGCATATATGGCATCACTATTTGTGCCATTCCCGATTCCCAAAAAATTGCACGACGATAGACCCTTAGTTCCTTTATACATCCACAGCTTTTACAAGCAATGATAGCAAATGTGTTCATATGCTTATGATTCACGCATGCATCTTTTATTCATTTTGTAAGATTTACTGATATGTTAGTGTTATGCAATTTTATTTCTTAATTAAACAATTATCAGTATCTTGGCCAAGTTAACTATGTGCCATGCTTAAACTTTATTTCAGCGAACAATGTAATTTCGAAACATTTCGTTCGCCGCTTTCGTTACGTATCATACGTTTTCTCATATATGATTTTCTTCTGATGAGAACACAGTTTTTAACACTTGAGAATTTACGTTAGAATTTATACGTAAACTTGAAAATGATCTCAATCTAACAACTATTTCAAAGTGCATTCTGTGAGGCAAATGTACTCAAATTCTACTTTTAATAATTTCAGTTCTTTCCTTCACCAGCTATAATTTAATCTTAAAGAGGTTCTATATTGACTTTTAATAATAATATTGAATTCTAAAGGGGTGCGCTATGCTTTTTTTCTGCGATTACCCTCATTATCCTTTTCCAAAGACGACATTGCTTTTATTTTATGCAATAGTATTTGAATATATTCAACACAAATGTCATTTTTAACCAATTGAAATGTAAATATTCAAATTAGTTTATTCAATACTTAAAACATTAATGCTACCCTCAGTTAGCGATACATTCTTTGTGGCAAACTTATCGTAGCCATAACCTATCTTTCCAGGTATTTAGATTGATATGCCAAAGTTAAGAAATCAGGAAATTTGTTTAGTTATGTGGCTTGTAATCAGGGTAAAATTAACACTTCAGTAAATATTTAATTGCGTTAATTTATTTCGATTCGGCATAAATTTAGAAAATGGAGCAGCAATGAAATACGCAAGTGAATAAAATACCGATAATGGACATGAAAGTTCAGTGACACTGGTCCTCTATTTCTCTCCGTTGTCGTTGCAATAAAATATTGTTTCGAAAGAAGAAAGAAAATCCATTTCATCCCCAGAGATGTATATATGACTTAATTACACAGACTTCTCTCCGTTGTCATTGCAATAAAATATTGTTCTGAAAGAAGAAAGAAAATCTCTTTCATCCCCAGAGATGTATACATGTCTTAATTACACAGACTAGATTAAAACTTTGCGTCTATTCATTTTACTGATATCATCAATGCATGTTTTATAATATGCACTTTAATTGTTAATATACGTAATTAATAAGACAGGAATTAACAAAGAAAGACGCTAAAAATTAATATGGGTGCCTGATTACGATTTTATTTTTTTTTAAAAAACATTTTTGGAAAACAGCAAATATGAAATATTTTGATCACGTACATACAATCATTCTTTGCAATGAGGGAGGAGGCGATTGAATATATGTTTTAACATTAAACAAGATGGCAAGATTTTATTTTGATTTAGATCATGACGGAGATTTGCTCTTGTCAATGCCAAATTCTGAATAAAGCATGTTAAGTTTCAGGAACAAAAGTTTGAATTACGGTTGTCGTTATTCTTGTCTGATCGGATTTCATCATTTCCATTTCACTCAGAATGCTTCCCATTTCGATAATGATATTTTTGTATCACACAAATCAATATAATCTATATGACAATGGAAATGAAACAAAATTACTGAAATATCAGATGATTTCCCGTGTTTTCCTCTAGTTCTAAAAAAGAAAAACAGCACCTTTATGAGCCATGGATTCAAACAGACGACATGAAATGCCACAAACGCCTAGCTAGATTTGTTAGCATGCAATCATATATTCTCTCCTAGGATGACTGATTCACTGGAATTGTAATATACGTGCACAAGATAAGTGGCTCCGTGAAGTACTATCCTTAGATGAATTTCTATGTTCCACCAACCGCGTTAAAGAAATGTCAGTAATGTTTTGAGTAACTGTTCAATAAGACTATTGCAGAAATATTTCATTATTACATAATATTATACTGTGGTTCGGGAATACAAATTATATTTCATACGCAGTAATTCGTTATCCTATTATTGGTGTGTTTTCTTCATTATGGTATGGCATCCCAGAATCATTAGCCGTGAAATCAGTTTCCCTTAAAATTCATATCGGAAATGCGTTAGACAGGGGATATTAGTTGTGATAGAGGTTATTCTGAATTCATATTAGGACACACAATTTTCAAGGTCATTAATCCCCAGAAAAATAAGATTGATAATCAGAAGAAACTGGTTTTGAGATTTTCATGATTCATTGAAACCAGTCACAACATAGTTAACTCACCACTGTCAACCAATATTTCAGGGAATACGTAGATGTCAATGAGAGACTGGGTTTGTAATGCCAGATGCTAATTATCAGACATGGACTAGACGATTAAATAGTGGCGGTGGAAGTATAGTTACAAAATGCAAATAGGCCTAATTGCGGCTTTCACTAAACATAATCCAGATATAGTGTTACTAACTATCAATGGTAACCTTTTGACACGGAGCTCTTCGACGTTGTTGCAATTGTCTTGGTTACTTGAAGCTACTGTTCTAGATATTGGGACTGGACAGCAAGTGATAAAAGATATGCAAAATATTTGCATACTGCTTACCCCCCCATCTATTCTAGGTGGCGATCTTATTGGAAAAGTTGGGTGGTAGGAAGAACAGTAAAAAGATGCTTTACTGCAAAATTATATTAAAAGCAAAATTTTTCCTGCTTTAAAATGTGTCCACAACGATGTTTTTCTAACCTAGGTAATTCTGTAATTTTTCGTGTATATATTTGATTCCTAATTTTAGTGTGTATTTTTTCTTTGTAATTTTTGGTTTGTGTATTTGATTTGTATCAAATTTATAATTGTTGGTGTGTATATCTGATTCCTGAAACTGTTATGCATATTTGATTCCTAATATTGATGTTTATGGTTCATTCAAAATATTGGTGTATATATTGGATTCATAATATTGGTATGCATATTTGATACAAACTATTGGTGTGTATATTTGATTCTTAATATGCGTGTTCATATTGATTCATAATCTGATTCCTAAAATTGGTGTGCATATTTGATTCATAATATTGGTGTTCATATTTGATTCCGAATATTGGTGTTCATATTTGATTCATAATATTGGTGTTCATATTAATTCCGAATATTGGTGTTCATATTTGATTCCGAATATTGGTGTGCATATTTGATTCATAATATTGGTGTTCATATTTGATTCCGAATATTGGTGTTTATATTTATTCCGAATATTGGTGTTCATATTTGATTCCGAATATTGGTGTTCATATATGATTCCTAATCTTGGTGTTCATATTTGATTCCGAATATTGGTGTTCATATTTGATTCCGAATATTGTTGTTCATATTTTATTCCGAATATTGGTGTTCATATTTGATTCCTAATCTTGGCGTTCATATTTGATTCCGAATATTGGTGTTCATATTTGATTCTTAAATTAGTGTGAATATTTGATTCTTAATATTGGTGTTCATATTTGATTCCTAATTTTTGTGCATATTTGATTCCTATTATTGGTGTGCATATTTGATTCTAATATTAGTGTGTATATTTGATTCCTAATATGAGTGTGTATATTTGATTCTAATATTGGTGTGTATATTTGATTCCTAATATTGGTGTGCATGTTTGATTCCTATTCTTGGTGTGCATATTTGATTCTAATATTAGTGTCTATATTTGGTTCCTAATATCGGTGTGTATATTTGATTCTAATATTGGTGTTTATATTTGATTCCTGATATTGGTGTACATGTTTGATTCATAATATTGGTGTGCGTATGTGATTCGCATACATAACGAGCATTAAAGGCATCCAGAAAATGTTTTATGTACGTTAAATATTTAAGAATAGACTATAAATATACAACAAACACGAACATTTTTGACAAAAATTGTTTCCCATTGTGATTCAGTAGTTCCGACAGCATAGGCTTTACTACTGACTGGTTTACTGTTAAATTTGACATGGCAAATAATTTTATATCAATATGTATTCATGCTGTGCGTGACTAATCACATATTGCCAACATTTAATATTATATTTCATGTCTGAAAATTGGTACACGGCATTACAGACCCTGTTGCTTACTGTCGTCTACGTATTTCTTGCTATACTGGTTGATCATGATGGGTTTGTATGTGTTTGAGTGTGTGTGATTTAGATTTTTAACGTATTTTTAGCAATTTATCAGTCATATCGCTACTATGTCTGCAGTGTGATAGTTTATAGTGATGTCTAGTCCTGGGGCATCAAGCCGCAAACATGTGGCATGATGACCCACCCGGTCACATTATCCTGAAACCAGGCCCACCAGTCCTAACACTAACCTCTTAATTCTGAGCGCCTAGCGAGGCAGTTTTTAGTACCATTTTTAAAGTCTTTGGTACGACTCGGTCGGGGTTCGAACCCACGACATCCAGCATCAGAGCCGGATGCTCTAACCACTATGCCACCGGAGCGGTTGAATGTGTTTGAAAGTTTGAGGACATTCAGGGTGGTATCCCTGTTTTAAATATTAAATTAAAATTGCGACAGTTCTCAAATACAAGACTGCTATATCTTGTATACATACACTAAAATTATACTACTACTACTACTACTACTACTACTACTACTACTACTACTACTAGTACTACTATTGCTACTAAAATAATAATAAGAAGAAGAAGAAGAAGAAGAAGAAGAAGAAGAAGAAGAAGAAGAAGAAGAATAAGAAGAAGAAGAAGAAGAAGAAGAAGAAGAAGAAGAAGAAGAAGAAGAAGAAGAAGAAGAAGAAGAAGAAGAAGAAGAAGAAGAAGAAGAAGAAGAATGATAATAATGATAATAAGGTTATGGTTGGTTGAAAGTAGCACAAATAATAACAATAATGTCCTATATTTCTAACATAATGTTTACATCTGATATTTTGACACTCCAAAAGTGTTAGACATATTTCAGTCGGTTGTGTGCCTTTTCAAACAATTGGAAGATGATGTGGCGTTAATTTTGTACACACATGACGAGTTCGAAACAAAGGCTTTGTATGGAGGTACATTGGATACTGGTAGAACTACTCCTGCTCAGTGACTAGGAATATTTCATATTGTTATCTTCTATTCCAAACAATGACATAATGGCAATTTCAAGAAGAGAAACAAAAGTAGTGGGAATGCATTATAACGAACACATGCTATGTTTCTAATGCTCCTTATTGAAAAGCCAAATATCTCATGCTGTTTAGCCATATTTTGCACATACATCTTGGGTATTACTCATTTAATGATTGAAAGGTAAGTTTGAACTAAGTAAAGAAATATGTTCCTAAATGTTCAGAAATATATCCATAAATTTGCACATTGTTAGTACTTATAACTGGATAAACAAAATAGACCACTTAACTTAAATCAATACAATTCTCTGTCTCAGTCTGTCTGTCTGTCTGTCTCCCTGTCTCTGTCTGTCTGTCTCTCTCTTTTACACACACACACTTTTCATCTGACATTTGGTTCTCATTAATTGATTATTTATATAATTACATACCTTGTATATAACGCCATATTTTAAAACTATTTAATGTGTTATACTATACCGAATATTTGCCCTAGTTTTATTAAATACGTTTTGGAAAAAAACGTCATTCTTTTCAGAAATATATAGGGTCACTGGACAAAACTAATAAACGTGTCCTCATAAGAAACGTCGACCTTGTCAATGTCGACATTTATGTTGTTTGGAGCAATAATCTGCCCATCACGATTTTGTCTACTTTGCGATTCGATTTCAACAACATAAACAACTGAATTTGCAAGTGTACTCTGATATTATAAGTATAGCGTGATTAGAAACACAGGCGCCCAGTTGTTCCGTTACTGAGAGCCATAACTTTCAAAATGTGGATTCTACATTAGCTCTTTCTATGACCAAACAACACTTATTAGTTTTACCAAAAATATGTCCTCCTATTCATCTTTGTAACAGTGCTCTGACAGTGTAATTTTTTTTATTAAAGGATGTTTCAACAAAGTTAAAAGCGCTTGAGAGAAGCACATATCAATTTAATTATATCTCCTATGCCAACAACTGATTTATTCTTAACTAAGGCATAACAGAAAAAAAAACATTAATAACCATTCAGTATAAAAAGGGAATAACCAAAAGAGATGTGTACGGCTTGATTGCTAATAAAGAGGCACCAACGTTGTGCAGCTTGTAGCCAGACATGCCTTGATATGTTGATCTATTGGACATACCGGTTCAGGATGTGGCATGAATACCCGAGAGCACAATTTCATCCTGTATGTCTCTGACAATCTTTTACAATCAAATTTGAAATAAAAATAACAAAGTAAATATAACATTAATCTGAAGTAAAAGCCAAGTGCAGATTCCTTCAAATAATTCATGGATTCCTGTTCAGAGAAGCGGATTTGTACTTGAACGACCAATTTGACAGGCGCAGCACGGTCGTTTATCCTTCCCACTTGCATAGCTACTCCCCTATGTACCGAAAAGAAACGAAGACATACAAACTGATGTTAGTTTGTGGTGGAGACCCGACATTACCGAAAAGAAACGAAGAGCATACAGCCTGATGTTAGTGTGTGGTGGAGACCCGACATTACCGGAAAGAAACGAAGAGAATACAACCTGATTTTAGTGTGTGGTGGAGACCCGACACCATATAGCACGAGTTTAATCGGCGACATAAAGTTCACAGAAGATGATAATTATCAGAATAATTGTATTTAAAAACCACCCAATACGAAATAAATAAAACCTCTGCGTAGTTTAGAAAGTATGGGATAGACAGACGTTCTGTGTAAGACCCTTTGTATCTAAACATTACTTACACCAATAACTTGAGATATTTCTTGTCTGTGTTTGAAGCTGAAATGAATTGTTTCGAATTCACTCAAGAAAAAGTGGTGACAACAAATATCTCGGCCATATACAATCAAACAAACTCGGTGTGGAAAGTCGGTTTACAGTAGTCGTTGGGAATAAACTTTTTTTAACACTGTATGAAAAATTCGATAATACATTTAATTTCAAATATATGTGAAAAATAATTCTATATTATTAGAAACTGAGACCAAGGATGTGCACATTGATGGTTCTACCGTATTTCAACCAGACCAGTAAATAACCAGTCACACACCACATCAAATTGCAGATATTTAAGATTAGGATCACGATCTCTAGAAAATAGAGCAATGATTGATTTGCTTTTCATTGTTTACCACATGGCTAGAGGAGCCACACCCAAACCAGAGAGCATAATTATGTCCGTCAAATCGATCATCATATTCAAATTCAACACAACCCATGTTACATGATGAGTCCAGAGCCGATTAAATTGGAAGAAGCACGGACACTCTTCCGAGAGAAGACAATATAAAGAGTGGTAAAAAAATCTAGTGATCATCTAACACCTGTTTTGCCTCCTTTGAAGACTAATCTCATCTAAGGTCTCTACCAAACAAAATATTATGACTTCCTCTCTTCAACTTCCTTGACATTATTTATCATTATTCGTGAGATAAAAGAAAAAAAACATATATAATTTTAATTATTTCCTGATTCGCACTTCGTAAACAAATTTATGCTGTGTTGGTGAGTAGATGTAGATGTTGGTCAGTGGAGGTGGGTATTTTGTCTGGGGATATCGATACTGGTTAGTATTGTTTTGTATTGGTGAACAGGTAAGAGAATCAGTGGATATTTGTGTTTTCTAATAGAGGTGGCCAGTAAGACATTGATTTGTTCAATATGCGTTAATAATTTTGAAATGCCATCCTCTTCCTTTGTCTTCAGACTTCTCCCACCCCCAACTTCCTCATTTCAAGCTCACTCATTTTTTAACATTACTCAAATATTTGTGAAGTTTATCCTATGTTTAATTCCCCTTGAACCCTGGGTCCTTTAAGAAACATGGCGACTGCAATGTTAAATTCCCGTGTTTCCATCGTCTCATTTACGCCGCCATAGTTCTTCCATTTACTACTCTCAGACTAATATCTTCTGTGTTTCTGTCGTATAGTAAAGGCTCCACGTGAAAGCTTTGATTGTTACGACTATACGGTCTTAAACCAATCACACTATTAAATACACATGCAGAGTGATTATCGAACCAAGAGCAGTACAAGACAATACGAGTAATACTAATTGTTCATTCACCTGCATCTCATTTACTTTAATACGAGTCTAAATTTAACCAAAAGCAACATATTTCATAACACACTCCCGTCATATACATCGCAATACTCATTCGTCCCATTAGTATAATTTCTCAAACTGTAAATATGATCTTCTTTTTAGAATCTTTATCTTTGATCTAGACTTCAAACCCATATTAAATAACTTCTATCTAAATAAGAATCTACAATCATGGCCAAATAAGAGATACACGAAAGAGATATAAATAAAATGATGGTTGGAAAATAGTGTCTTATCATAACATAATACATACATATGATATATATATTTTCATAACATTTTATTGCAAACAAACTCGCTATAGTTAATTGCTACGTTGTACTCTGCTTGGAAACGATACCTCTGCTCATCCAAGTCAAACTGTCAGTGACCTGTACTTCAGAGTTAAACCGATCTCTAAACATTTACCATTAGACGCTAAATCCTCACGCACGGCACGCTGATATAATGAATAGGGTGAATGTTTCATTGCAAGGATAATTACCTCAGAGGAAGTGCATGTTAAAGGCTTGAAAATGGAAGATGAAATATGATTTTAAATGTAAGAATCATCGCTAATTACACAACTGAGAAAATTATATATATTTCTTGATTTACCCTTGCAAAATATGAAATACTAAAATCAGGGTGCGTAATACTTGCTAATCCACCTGAATGATATGAGAGCGTTAAGTTATTACTATCCCTAGACAATGGAATTATCACCAAGATAAAGCAAATTATAATGAAAAATATTCCACACACATTTATAGCAATTATATTTCATATATAACGCGTATTTGTATCGAATATGCTCTAGTCAGCCGTCTCAAAATTATGTTGCTATTACAGTTAATAATTTCACACTGTTTCCACAAAATATAATAGACGTATTTTGATTTATATTGAATGTGTAAACAAAATCACATTCTTATATTATCTATCTATCTATCTATCTATCTATCTATCTATCTATCTATCTATCTATCTATCTATCTATCTATCTATCTATCTATCTATCTATCTATCTATCTATTACAGATTTTGATATAGTGCATGTATGGAAAATATATTTCAGCAGAAAATTAGGGCTCATAATGATAGAATTTAGATGCCACTTTACCATAACAATGGAAGTGTATTCAAACTGCCAGACTTTTTCCGATAAAGGTTACCCTCTGAGATTGGATTTAATAACATAATGATAAAAGTACGTAACACAAACTCTCTCTCTCTCTCTCTCTCTCTCTCTCTCTCTCTATATATATATATATATATATATATA